ATGGTGCGGCAATGAAGGAGTGAAAGCCCAGAATCCCTGTGAATGTTCATTGAAACTAATAAAATTTAATAATAATAAAAAAAATTTTGATATACCAGGATGTTCAGTATAACAGTATCTTGTATTAAAGGTCAAAAAGTTTTAACAGTACAATGTCTAACAATATTTAATATTTTAAGAAAGGAATTGTAACTTATGCACAGCAGAAAAGGACCTGAAACTATGCTCTAAAAAAATACTATATATCACATATTGTGTGTATCCATATGTAAACAGGAAAAAATCATGAATGACAAAAAACAAGACCATTGTTAATGGGTTTTAAAATCAGAATTGTCTGGTCATCTTTTTCTAGTTTATTAATAATAATACAGATTATAAACATACCAATTAATAAATTACCTTTATTGAAATTAAAAATAATGCATATGGAGACTGATTTTTGCATACCCATTCCCATCCATACACAGAAGAGAGAAAAGATACGAAGTTTATTTCTAAACTGAAGAATCAAGAGATTATTTTCAAAATTTTCTTTCTACTTTGAAATCTTTTTCAATGTTTCAATCAAAAATTCTATGCGCATGGATATCCACTCCTTTCTGTCCTAAGGATAACTATTTTTTCATCTGCTGTATCGACGACACTTAACTCTTTGAGAGTTCTCATAAATTTTAAATTTTCTCAGTTACAGTGTTTAAAAGAGAAATGAATGTAAACTGATAATCAAGAGAAGACAGTCATTTCAGGTGAGGTTCTTAATAAGAATGGGGGAAAAAAGAAGGGGACAGAGATTTTCATCTAGAAGTCCTATCCTGATTTCAAGAGACTTTATCATAATCATAAACCAAAACAGCATATATGGTCTTATTCACTAGTTTCACCAGTAGCCTCTAAATTTAACCAGTTTATAGTCAAAGGAAAATTCTCTGGAGCACAATGGCATTCAACGGAAAATTCCCTATCTGATGTTCTTGAAGGCAAGAGTATCCTAATTCTTTGTTCTATGTTATGGCTTATTAGCGATGTCCTAACCCACACACAAACTTATAAAAAATTTACCATGGTGACAATTTAAGTGTGCTCATTATTTAACATTCTCCATGTGAAGCCGTAGACTTACTTGGCTTCTGCCATAGCTGCTTTCCGGAGACTCATGATGAACCTGCCATGGTGGAAAGCTCGTCCACTCAGCACCTGATTGTCCTCCGACAGAGGGAAGGGAATCTGAACCTCCGAGCGGCTATCTCGATCATGAATTACATAGCCATGGATCACCTGGGCATCAAAGCCTTCCACTGTATCTGCAAATCAATTCCATTCAAAACAATCAATTTTACTCCAAATTAGACAAAGCAACAAGAAAAAACATATAGTTATTTAAAACAACAAAAAAAAAAATCAGTCCAAGCCTCCAAAAAGTTTTCCTTTTGGAAAACTGGACAATTACTATAACCATTTCAGAAATCTTAACCCTGTGGAGAATAATGACAGTCTTATCAAATCTGTATTCTTACATAAAAATAACCATAATTGCTATTTCAGGTCTGTAATTCCATTATTACCTCAGAAAGATAAGAAAAATACAATGGTGCATACGAACAGAAGGAGTATGATTACTTCCTAGTATTCATTAAAAAAAAACACACCCACTTCTTGACCACCATCTACCTGTGGTTACACTTTCACAGCACCTTTACAGCAAAGCTCCTCAAGAGTTATGACCCAAACAAGCTGCCTTCTTACTGTTGTTGTGTGCCACAGAGTCGCAATCCACCCACAGCTGACACTCTGCCCCCATAGCTGACACTGCCCGGTTTTCAGAGGCAGCTAATCACTTAGTAGGAGACTGCCCATCCTTGTCCCACGGAGCAACTGGTAGCCTTGAACTGTGTGCCTTCAGGATTGCCACACAGCTTCTTGCCACTAGGGCCATTGGAACTCCCTCCCTTCTTTACTGCTTCACTTAATTCTACACTGTCAGACTTGCTGGTCACTCTTTCAACCTCTCAAGAGTATAGACTATGACTGAGCAATCACTCCCTTTATAAAGCCCTCTACCTAGCTTCCAAAAGGCCGCAATCCTTCGCTTTCACAATCCTCTTATGGGCTGCTCCTTCTCAGTCCTGTGTGGATCCCACAGGCTCTATAGGTTATGAGAATATCCCAAGATTCAGTCTTGGACTTCTGGCCTATGGTTGCTATCTAATTTAAATAGAATGCTGACACTGTCGCTCATGTCTAACATCTGAACCATCAACAAGTCCTACTGTCTACTCAGAATGTAACCACTTTCCACACCTCTACTTCAACTACCATGTTCCAAACTCCTAACAGGTCTTCCAACTTCTGACTCTGTCACCTTACTATCTATTCTCTATTCCACACAATAGAATACTTTTAAAAGGCAAATCACATCTTACAACTCCACTTCTTAAAAATCATCCAATAGCTTCCCTTTAGAGTACAAGCCAATTTTTATACTGTGTTACACAGTCCTATGGAATCTAATCCTCCATTAGTTAATTGAGCTCTTCCTCTAACTCCTGAAGTAGTACACTGACAGGGAATAGCCAGAAATTCAAGCTAGAGTCAGAAGAAGTCTTAAGATAAGGGCTTTCATTACCGATGTCAGATGGCTCTTAGCTGGAAGCAGAGAATAATAGAAACATGCTTGTGTTTTATTGACTATTATGAATCACAGCAAGAAAAATATTTAGAGGAAAGGGAATTCCAGAACACTAAACAGTGGTTCAGAAAGAAGGAGGTGCTGCATGATCTAAAATCAGAAAGGGTACAAATCAAGGTTGTATCCTTTCACCAAAACTACTCAATCTGTAGGCTAAGCAAATAAAGAAGCTAGACTATATGAAGTAGAATGTGGCACAGGTTTGGAGGAAGACACATCAACAACCTGCATTAAGCAGATGACACAACCCTGCTTGCTGAACATGAAGAGGACATAGGAATGTACTGAAGAAGATCAAAAGCTAAAAAAAAAATAAAAATGAGAGATTACAAGTCAACATCAAGAAAACAAAAATTTTCACAACTAGATTAAGCACCATCATGATGAATAGAAAAAAGACTGAAGTCATCAATGCTTTACTTTGATCAAAAAATGACATACGTAGAAACAGCAGTCAAAAAATCAAGACACGCTGCACTGGGTAAATTTGCTGTCAAGGACCTTTATAAAGTTCAAAAAAGACAAAGGTGTCAGTTTAAAGTCTGTCTGGCTCAAGTCATGATATTTTAATTTGCTTCATGTGCATATATGAAAGTTGGACAATGAGTAAGGAAGACCAAAGAACTGATGGCTCTGAACTGGGGTACTGAGTAATACTTAAATATACAATGGACTGCCGAAAGAACAAAGAACAAATCTGTTTTGTAAGAAGTGCAGCCAGGGTTCTCCTAAGAGACAAGGATAGTGAGACTGTACCTCACAAACTTTGGGCCAGTCCCTGGAAACAGACATCATGCAGAGGGTCAGAAAATGAGGGGGGAACCTTCAATGAGATGATCTGACACAGTGGATACACTTGGAGCATTATGAGAACAGCAGTGGTTGCTCAAGAAAAAGATGGGCAATCCCTTCTCTCACAGCCCTCAACAACTGCTGGAGGTTCCGCTCTGACTTGGTTCTACCTCAAAAGCAATGAGAGACTAAATAGCAAGCACCGTTCCAGATGATTTAAGGATAGGAATGTATTTATAGGTAGCAACATATTTGATCTTCATAACAACCTACATGCTGGTAGCTCTTACTATGTTGCCATTTTACAGATGACCAATCTTACTCAAAAGAGGTTAAATTAATTTGCCCATGACTACATAGCTTGTTGTTGTGTGCTGTTGAGCTGGAAGTAACAGCTAACCCTCCAATGGGTTTTCAGAGACAGTAAATCACACGAGAGGAGAAAGTTTATCTCCCTTAGAACAGCTGGTAGGTTCAATCCCCATGCCTCTGAGTTGCAATGCATTTCTTACCACTAGTCCACCAGAGCTCCTTATACAACTCGTAGGTAACATAATCAGTATTCAGACTCAGGCAATCTGACTCCACAGTCAATGCTATAGTTCCCTCACAATATTACCTACCACATAAGATCCTTCTAACTTCACAGGCTTGACGTATTTTGCATCATGCCCTAATCATGTTCCCCAGTTTATCCTGAGTACCCAGACTAATTCACACAAAGAGGCAGTGAATAAATATTCCCTAAATGCATAGTTGAGGCTTATAAAACACTGGGTGAAGAGGTGAATGATGCCCAAATGAAAAGTTCTGGGAGAGAGCATTCCCAGGGAGCAGGGCGAGTAACAAGCACTTTACATTTCCCTTCACACTTCATTACAATTCATGCCCTGACTCCTCGAGCTTTCTGGGTCTTCTGTTTTGATCTTTACAATTTTCAGCCACTCTGTTATCTCATTATCATTCTTATCTCCTTAAACATTTAATTCCCCCCCCCCTTTAGCTCTTTTCCTAAAAATATTCACTGGTACCTTTGGAAAATGCATTAGTAATTGGCATTGGCAAAGCACACAAAATCATAAATGTATTTACCTTTTTACTAACGCAAATCTAAAGTGCTAACTTACATACCACATAACTCTTTAGAATCAATTATTGTACCTACCTCCAAGACCAAGATCTTTAAGGACATGATAGCCACCTGGCTGCAGAAATTCTCCAACTATCCTGTCGGGCTCCTTTAAATCTCTTTCGATCACAGTCACCCTTCTTCCATCTCTAGAAAGCACTGCTGCCAATGTAGAACCAAGTACACCAGATCCCACAATGATAACTTCCGGATCATTCTGAGATGTTATAGTTCCTACTGACGTTGTTTCTGAAATACTTGTGCCTTTTGTATGCTGTTTGTGGGGAAGAGAAAGAGAATTATGTTTAAACATTTGTTACCCTTAAATCACAGCACTACTTCTATAGAAATAGTGGGCTTTTGCATCTTAGAACACTCCTAGAAATAAAAAATATTAAAAAAAAAATACAACTAAAAACAATGAACTTTGTTTTTAAATTCAAATATTACATAGAAACCAACAATATAAAAATTAAGCAAAAAATATACAATACTATCTCAGTAAAGCTATAAATTTCTTTTCCAAGTGTAGTTTATTTAGAAAATGCTCAGTAAGACATGTGAAAATCTACATCAAGCCAAACAAAAGAAACATAAGGGACTTCAGACTTAATCCTATTAATTATTCCACTCTCACCACTGGGCTGACTGGCAGCACTATGATAGATGAAGAAGAGATTGAGATTGTTAATAGCTTTAGTTTGCTTGGTTCCACAATCAGCATTCTTGGTACTAGCAGCCAGGAAATCAAGAAAGAAGGGGGGGGAAGGAAAGCTGGGGCTGTCAGAGACCTCTCCAGAGTACCAAAGAGCAATATCATCAGTCTGAAGACTAAGGTGTGCTTGATCCAAGCCATGGTCTTCACAATTGCTTCCTATTGGTCAGAGAGCTGGACAATGACTAGGGATGATAAAGAGAATTGATGCCTTTGAGCTGTGGTGCTGGAAAAGAGTGTTGACTATACCATGGACTGCCAGGAGAACAGATTCATCCTAGAGAGGCTGAAGCTGGCCTGCTTCTTGGAGTTAAGGATTTGGTCATGTTGCAAGGAGGGGCCTGTCCTTTGACAGGGATATCATGCTTGGAAGGGTGAATGGATGGAGACAGAGAGGGAGGGACCATCAATGAGATGGACTGATACAGTGGGGAAATGGTAGGTGTGTTAGAGGCAGTAAAGTTGGCACAGGGCTAGCGTACACAGGGTCGCTATGACTCGCAAGACGGCACATAACAACATTCCATTCTTCAAACAGATACTAAGCACTTACCAGATACAAATGACCTACAACTTCTACTTTAAATGAATGCTGCAAACTTAAGTGGCATCTTCCAGGTTAAATCACCTACAACTTCTACTTTAAATGAATGCTGCAAACTTATGTGGCATCTTCCAGGTAACCCCTCCTATCTACCCTCATTTTCTCCTGCTGTAGTTACATTTCAAAAATCTACCTTAATCTAAAATCACTTTTATCTAGTATTAAGATTTTCAATCCCTGGCCACTATCTATTCATTGAAGGTTATTCAAGTCAACAAACTTTCAACTGGACAAAACGGCTCAGACTACTCTCTAGGCATCATAAATTTAGTTTTGAACATGAAAAGTTTATTTCTGAACATGTAATATTTCATTTATTTCTTTCTTTAGTCCTTTCCTGATACCTGAAGACAGCCTGGTTAAGTGAGTCTTTAAATTTAGAAACAAGGGTAATTATTAAACGCTACCCTGGCTGGGCTGTAGGCAAAAACTGCTGGATGTGATCATAAGGATAGAAAAGCTCTTATGCCCATCAGGAATAGTAATGTCTCTCTGGGATGGAGACTTTACCCCCTTAACAAACAGTCCAATCTTGTTATATATTTGCTCATGGTGGGTGGATTCACAAATGTGAAAACTTTAAAACAGAACTCCAAGAAACCATCTTCTTGAGTTCTCTGACAATGAAGTATTTGTAGAGATTCTAATAAAAGATCTCATGCATAAAGAATCCCAAGACCCTTTAGAACTTTAAAATTTCTCTTGACTCTAAAGTCTTCTGCAAAGTCAAAATTTCTTTAGAGTCAATTTCTCTTGACTCGAAAGTCTTCTGTCAGAGTCAAAATCCACATGAACATGAAAGCACCCACCAATAATATTTATGTGGTCTTCTTTTTACCCCTAGAATGGACTAAGACTCTGTTCATACCATGTTCTAACTCCGTCTAGAGAAATGTCTTTCTGGTTTTTACCCACGGGAGAAGACAACAGTCTATTCTTCCCAATAGCATGTCAGAACAAACATCAATTTAAAATTACTTTTCTGAGAACAAGAACAAAAACTGTCAATTCTGTCTAATTTTTTCCCTTCAAACCACACACCCTTCTGGAAGCAGAGTAGAGACAGTTTAGGCTGTCAAAGACTGGTCAGTAGAAGCACTAATGGGACCTTACTCCTGAAGAGATCACAGTCCAGTAACTCCCTGGTTGGGAAATAACCAGAAAGCCTGTGGCATTCACAACTGCAAACAGCACTGACTGGTGATGTTCCAGAATTCTGGTCCCAAGTTCCTCTGCACCAGCATGCGCAGTGATGGTATTCCAGGCACCTGGACCACCTTAGAATTCTAAGGGAAGTTATTTAAGACAGCAATAATTCTTAAGTCTCTGAGAACCGGTGAACTCCCAGATTCTTCTCTCATTTCTCCAAATCCACTCATCACACCTCGAAACTTATTTTGTGCTACTTAAAAGGTTACTAACAGAAATATGCTACCTTTAAATTAAGACTAATAGCTACTATTTAATAAGCTGTTATATGCTAGGTATTTTATAGATATTATTTCATTCCCTTACTACCAATGCAAAGGGAGCTCTGCTAGCCTACTGGCAAGAAGCTGTGCTGCAATCCCAAAGGAATGTGGTTCAAATCCACCAGCTGCTCCGGGGAGAAGTAGTAACAAGCTGTGTCCCAAAGGCGGAGGGCCATCTCCTCCCGTGTGATTAACTGCCTCTAAAAACACGCTGGATGGTCAGCTACGGGCACAAAACAACAAACAAGGCAATGGGCCTATGTCCATTAAAGATTATGACAGAAACCAAGCTGTTGGCCTAAAGCTTCAATGTAGATTCTGAATCTTCAAAGAGTAAATGACTTCACAGGTCACTCATCTTAACCCCAAACCACCTGTCTCACCTTGCCCACTGCTGGCATCCCTTTCCTGACTTCCCAGCCTATCCTTCTTAAGACACCTTCAGTCCATTTGCCACACAGCAACTACAATCCGCTTTTCAGAGAATCAAAAATTGTTATTCCCACGCTTTAAGGCCTCCACTGCTCCTGAGAAAAAGTCGCCTGGCACGGAGGCCCTAAATACCTGTCCTCCTAGGCCCTGGCCTTGGCCTGAGAATCACCACTGCTCCACGGGGGGATTCACTCACTCAGGGTCCCACTGTCCAGGGAAAGGACAGCTTTCGCCCACAGCTCGCCTTTTAACTGCTTTGCCCTCTGTCCTGTCACTTCCCTGGCCAGCTGTCACTCCAGGCCGGGACCTGCCAGCAACAGGTTCCCTTCCTGGCAGGTACAAAGACGCTTCTGGCCCTGGCGACTCGAGGGGAAATGGTGTTGTTTCATCAGAAAACAAGGGATCCTGAGCTCATGCCACTCGCAGGCCAGAACTAAAAGCAGTAAAAAGTTGCTTCCAAGAAAGGATGTGGTCCAACAAGTGCCAAGAGCATCTTTCTTTTAAAAAACAAGCAGATGAGTTAGAATGTAAACGAGAAGGCACGTGCTGAAGGTGGGCGATGCCCAGTGACCCTGGAGGGGGGACCCCGCCGCACCTGTCCAGGCAGGGCCTGCGCGCCCCTCCCCGAGACGCCCACCTACCCTCCTGGCCTCCAGCTGCCCCTTCCTCGTGGCCGCGGGGGACGGCTTGGCCCAGAACACGCCGACGACGGGCAGCGCGGACAGCAGCTGGGCGAGGGCGGCGGCCCGGGGTCCGCTCAGGCCGGCGCTGCGGGGGCGACAGCGGTAGGACAGCGCGAGGCCCAGCGACAGGCACAGCAGCCCGCCCAGCAGCAGCTCGGGGTGCGCCAGGGTCACCACGTCCCCGCACTTCTTGTACAAGTAGGTGAAGGTGGCGATGCCCAGGAAGGTCCACATGGTCGGCCGGGCGGGGGTGGGGGGCTCTGCCTTAACTCTCGGGGGGACGCGGGGTCTCTCGATGCTGCTGCTCCCCGGGATGCAGGCGCAGACGGGGCGCGGAGCAGGCTGCACTGGGAAGGCCGGGGACGCGCGGGGCGAGCCGGGGTGCGGGACCCCCCGCTCCTCCTTCAAGACGCCGCCATCGGCCGTGCGGCGGGGCCGGGCGAAGCTGGTCTCGGCGGCCGACGAAGGGGCGACCGCGCCCGGCTGCCCTCCAACAAAAGGCGTGCCTCCCGCGGAAGCGTCTCTCCCGCCCGGTCGCTCTCCCGCGTCTTCGCGCTCCCGCCGGCTCCCGACGCCCTGGCCCTTCCTCCTCCCGGAGCAGCGGCGGCCTCCACCGGGCTCCTCTCGGAAGACGGCCCCACGCAGCCTGCTCACCGGCTTCCCGCGCGCGCCCAGCAGTAACCGGAGTAACCACCGCACGAGGCGCTCGCCCTCGGGCAGCGCGCGCTTCCTCCGCCCCGGCGAGGACCAGGGGGCGGGGCTCCGCCCGGCGAGCCCGCCCGCCGCCGCCGCCTCCAGCCAATGGGGGCGCGCACCGCGCGGTAGGCCGAGGTGGCGCTATGGCGCGTTCGGCCAATCGCAGGCCGCGGAGCCCGCGCGGTGCCGCCCGCCGAGGCGCTAGGGCGATGTTGCGTGATGTGTGGGGCGGGGGCGTGGGGATGGGTGTCCGGCCGCTGGTGGGCTGCAGGGCGGCCCCGGGCTGGACCCCGCGGAGGGTGGGGTCGGGCCGCGCGGGGCCGGGCCCGAGGGGCCCCTTTCGGCGGCTGCCGTCTTCTCCCCAGGGGCGCGAGCGGGAGCGCGTTCCTGGGAAAGCTCCCCGGGCGTCCCAGCCACCAGGCATCTCCCTGCACCTTGCCATTCGCTCCGCGGGCGTTTGCAGGGCGTGTGTTCTACGTGCCAGTCCCTGGGCTGAGTCAGAAAACTGCCTTGTGTGGGTGGAGGTTGGACAGTGGGTGATTGAGGAACGCAAGGGACAGGAAAGAACATGTTAGCCAGAAGACAGGTCACAGGCCAAACCACAATTTTCCTTCGCACGAATTCGTTGGGCAAGCCCGGGACTGGGGCTAGTGACACCTGAGAGAGCAGTCCCACCTTGCCAGGGGAGATGAGGGGGAAAGGGAGGGCAGAAGAAGTAAATAAATAGAGGGGCGCCCTGAGAGAGGTGCACCAGGCACCAGGGAACCTGGTGGACGGCCAGGCCCCAGAGGGGGTCGCAGGGACTGAATACCAGGCGAGCACCGGAAGCAAAGTCTCAGGGCGAGACACAGCCCTTGATACCAAATGAGGAAACTCCCCTGGCCCTGTAATTTACACCTTTTCCAGCCTACACGTATTGGTGCGTACGACAGCATTTTACTCACGATTTCCTTCTTTAAACTCTGACATTAATGCACAAATTCCTTTTTTAAAAATTTTATTGTGATTTTAAGAAAAATTTGTAATGCGCAAATTCTTTATGTTTTAAAACAAAGCTGAATTGGCACCTGCTCCAAACCTCCCTCGACTTTTATCACCAAGTAACAACAATAGTGAATAGTTCTTGATCAGGTCCCTATGCTTAAGTCTTGAAAGATCTGTGGTCGGTGATAATCACACATATCGTCGAGAACTTAAAATACGACTATTAAACCCAAGAGATTTATTAACATTGAAGTCACAATTAACATTGCAATGAGAGATCAAAAATCCTCTCAGGTTGAAATTTGCAGATCTGGAGGTGAGGGATGCAAATCACAAATAACGGTGAAAGGGGGGAAATTCACTATTCTGAATGGTTTACAGTAATTCAGGCCAGTCCAACTTGGAACAAAATAAAGCATAATCATTAACAGTATGAGTTTCCATAAATAACCCTTTTGGCTAAAAGATATAATAGAAGGAGAGGATTTGATGTTAGTTTCAATGCAATGGTTTGCTTGATGGATATTTTTAGGAATGGTATTGTTAGGAAGTACCTTAGTGGGAAATTTCTATCACTGATGGGAAATGGAAATAGTTTCCATACTTTATTGCACTTCTCAGAAAAGAAGCAAACCAGAGAAGATTGAGATCAAAGGTTTCTAGGAAGAATTCACGTTCTTTACCCAAGCTGCAAAGAAACTAGAAGAAGAATAGGGTTTGGTTCCTAAGCAACAAAAGCAGAATCTGAGAGAAATATTACACAGAGTTTCTAGGTGACAAATGTAATATCTAGGTGAAGGATTACACTGAACTCTTAGAGATTTAGCTTAATAAATTTACAAATAGGTCAGACAATTGTATTTTTATCTTATTATTCCCTTCTTTTGATCAAGAATTTTAAGGAACATCTTTTGATCACACTAATGGGCATACTGTCTTCTGCGTGATTGTAGATATTCTGCTCCCAGGTGGTAGCTCTACCTTTGACCTTACTTTTATGTCAGGCAGCTCTGGATTTCTTAACTGTACCATTACTTAGCAGCTGTCTGAAGTGATCTTGGTATGAGGAATGGAAAGGATGGAACTACACTGGAGAAACAAGCCAGCCTACTCTGAAATGAGTAACCTGAATGATGATATTCCTCCAGCTTTAGGGTCGGATTGCACTGTGGCTGTAAGATGAAGCCATTCTTCTGGAATATACATTTCTTAAAACAATTCTCATAAAAAGGATTATGTGTCACCGAACAGCCACACCACTCCATAGGAAAGCTTGATGGGATCCCTGTTCTGGCTGTCCTTATCACCACTACTGCTTGAAGAGCCTCCGGCAGATGGTGGCCCTAACTGCTGATCCACCTTCCTTGAGCAGCAGAAGCAGCCTGGCCCAACAGATACTTTGGATCTTTGCTGCTGCTGTCCCCTCCCTGTGTGATGAAGTCCAAGAGCCATTTCCTCTGCTTCACTTACTGGTATCCCACCCGGGGTCCAGTGCTGCAAGGGTTGGAGCTTGGCCTGGGGCTTTAGGACAGGAGTCTGAGGGGACATCAACTGGTGTAACATCGTCCACAGAGATAATGTCCAACACTGATGACTAGTGACTGGAGTCTTAAAAAGCCTGTGAGGTGCGACTATTGGTCTCTCTCTGTCCAGAACAAAGAAGAGTGAAGAAAGGCAAAGATGTACTGGAACAATCAGTGGAAAGGATGAAAAGCCACATAGCTTCAACTTCCACAACCCTGAGACCGGAAGAACTAGATGGTGCTTGGCTACAGCCTCTGGCTACACTCAAAGGGATCACACAGAAGACCATGGACTGGGGTAAGTTGGGAGAGTCAGGGGTGGGGTAATGTGGAACAGAATTCAAAAACATCAACACTCAATAAGAGACTGGTGGAAACCCCAAGATTGTGGCCGTTAGTAATTGTTCAAACCTGGGAAAAACACACACTCATGCTTATCACGGCTTTGTTCACAATAGCAAAGAGTTGGAAACACTCAAGTGCCATCAACAAACGAAAGGATTGAGAAGCTGTGGTATATTCACACAATGGAATACTATGCTGCATTGAAAAACAAGGAACTCATGAAATATTCTACAAAATGGGTGACCCTGGAGGACATTATGCTGAGTGAACTATCTCAGTCACAAAAGGACAAATACTGCATAGTGCCACTGTTGTAAAACAGGACTGACATCGGGGTGGGGGAGACTGAGATAGGATAAATTATGTATGAGCATTGAGACAGATGAAGGACAGAACTGTTTTATTTTTTTCTTTTTTATTATTAAGTTTTATTAGTTTTAATGAACATTTACAGAGATTTTGGTTTTTCATTCATTCATTGTTGCACTGTTTTCTCCACCCTCCTCCCCAGTTCGTTCTTCTTCCCCCCCC